AAAAGCAAAAAACTGAAATCTTTGTGATTTGGAAAAAAGGAATCTAAATTTGGCATCTGTAATTTGATGAATTTATGCAATTAACTACACCAACTGTGTAGCACTAAGCCTCATCACATGATCAAAGTTCCCTGAAATTTAGTTAAATCTACAAACACTGCACTACCTTGCACAGCTACAGATATGACCAACACATTGAAACGTCATCAAAATTTTGTTTTCAGTGGCAATCACAAAAGCCCTCATAAATGACAATAACATGGACATTTGCTTTCCAACAAAATCAGGAAAGAAAAAAACTAGGGAAAAACGAGCAGCATGGCACTGAGACAAACAAGTACCCTTCAGAAAGAGTTTGGTATTCCTTCACAAAGGAATAATTTTTTTTTTCTGCTGCTGTAACTTCCTTAGATCTGTGACAGTTTTTTCAAGTCCAAATCTAAATATAAATTTCCCTCGTGACCATGCTCAGCAGACAATCAGTCATAAATTTTGCAATTCTTCCACTGATGGATTAAAATGCATCTCCAAAATCTCAGGACATAGTAGTACTCATCAGTAGTGAGCCGATGAGTAACTCTGTAGCTATTAGCAGACTTTCACAGGAAATACTTTGCAAGGTTTCCATGAAAGGAAGAGAGAAAAATTTTTTTCTTTCTGTTCACCCTGATACTTTCTTAATGATTACAGTACATACCTCTATTTAAAAAGATTCTCAAGTATTTACAGTGGGTAGGAATGGGATGGAAAAGCTATCTTTAGTTCACATGAATCTGATCAAAACAACTCATAAAAGTTCTCTGACACACTCAAAATTGTCAGCATTTGATCCTTTCTCCCCTGCTGAGTTTGTTCTCTGGATTGCAGACTTTGGGGCACGGGAGGAACCTGCTGAGACTACCAATGGATCTATTATTTGGCTCATAAAACTTGTAAAAATCTCACAGAATGTACAACGTGCTATTGTGTCCGTAAATCTTTCAGCAGCCTGACTCAAAGCAGTCTGGCCTGTTTTCACTTCTACCATAAAAGGGTTTCTTGAAAGAGCCATTTAACTGTGACCATGGTTTCAGCAGCACTGTGAACACAAAGGAAGGGTTGAAGTCATTCGGACACTTCAGTACTCAGACTCCAGCAAATCAGTACATTTTTTCCCTTAGAACTTGTTTTTGCATAATTAGCTCTCTTTATGTACTGAATGATGTAATGCATCAGTATTCAAGATGCACGAAACTGCCATTTGTAAGCTTTAATTTAGATTCATGCATTAGAAACTGTAGTACATCTATAGAGAGCATTCTCTAAAAGAATGTCTTCAGAGGATTAATTCTATAATCAGTGCCCTCTGCCTTGTATCTTGAACAGAGTAAAACAGAAGGAAAATTGATTTATTTTGCCTTTGCTCTGGCCAGAGTATTTCTAAACAGAAGGAATTATTTATTTCACTTCTAATCAGCAGAGTCTAGCAAAGAAAGGTTTGTATGAAAATAAAATAGATACAGACAGCTCTTAAACGTACCGTTAGTCTCTTTGCCCTTTATGACGATGCCTGCTTGTATTTGCTGCTGCCATGATAGCCACGATATTCCTTTTGCTATGAAACACAGCACACCAAATCAAGAAATAATCACGTTATTTTTCCTCATACCTAAATGACTTCTCCCCATCCTATTTACAGTAGGATCCAACTGTTAAGAGCTGTTGATCACATCCCAGTAGGAGCACATTCTGAACAAACATTTGTTTTCTTTCTTATGGGACCCACAACAAACTCAGGTAGCATGTTTGCATCACTGCAGAAAAAGTGCTCATTTGCATCTGTGTGCTTGTAAGAGCAGCTCTCTGCCCAGCTTTCTTATTTAAAATTACTGTTTAAAACCAGCTGCCAAAAAACCAGCTGCCTGCGTTGGACTTGAAGGATGCCTGTACAGCCTCATAACGTGGAGCAGCTATGAGGATAGCACCCATCTGTTGCTTCTAACTGTGGATCTTTCAAAAGAGTCAGGTATTATTAATACACTTCACTTGAGCCAGCAACTCTTGGGTAGAATCACCAGCATGCTGACCTTCCCAAGACAACTTAAATTTGTATCACATACTACTTTCAAGAGAATGCAGTTTATGCAAGCTAAATTAAGCCCAAGCCCTCTTCTCTTAGAGGCATAACAAGATGAGAGAAACAAGACTCTACATCAAGACTTTGTGTGCAATTAGCTTGTTCTAGTTTTCCCTTTGACGTATACATCACAGATGCTTAATATTCAAGTTTATGTGTGTTTTCAGTCAGTCACTCAACAATTCTCTGCCTAGAGACAACAAATCTGTATCTTCCTGTGCATCAGACACATGAATCTGGCTCTCAAAACTCTGGTATCCTGAATCAGCAAGACAGGATTACCAAAAGTGCTCTCGTTGCTTTCTGCCTCTTCTCTTCTCCATTCAAAGGTATTTCTTTTTTACTCCCGCTTAACAGACACCTATCAAAGCCTATCCAACAGGCATCAAATCCACTTGTTGAGACTAAATACGCGCACTTTATACTTCTTGTCAGACTTATGCAAATGGCAATGTTGGTAAAAACATAGTGAGATGCTACAGTAATCGATCCTTTAAACTTTGCAACTTGAGTAGCTTACTGCTTAGTAGTTTACCCTGACTTCACACTGCCAGCATCGTTTGTTCAAGGAGCTAGAAATTTTACAAACATGAACATGATAGTTACCATAAAATAAGTTATAGAAGATAACGAACACATACTTGATGAAATTTTAGGATCTATTCAGAGGTTCCAAGATCACTCTGTTACAAAATCAAGTATATGCTTTACAGTCAAAGCAAACTGAAAACAAATTATTGATCGGAGTCCTCCTTTATTTGGCACTGCTGATAAATTTGATTAAAGGTGCACTTCCAGAACCAGTTTTGTTAGTAAAAATAACTATTACAGCCCAAAGATGTTTTGGGGGAGTATATTAAGAAAGTAACGTCTGCATGTTTTTGAAGGTGTGATTTAGGAATCCAGCATTTCCTCTCCAGAATGGCCTATTTTCTGGCCATTAAACTGTGGACCAAACTAATTGACAATTCACTAAAGCTAGAAATGTAGATGGAAAAAGCTTTGAAACAGGAAGGAGAAAAGAAGGTGAGGGCATCCCTTGCCTTCTCCCTTATAAGCCTCTTTTCCCCAGGCTTTCCTCCCTAACATCAAAGTTTTAATAACTAAGCTTAGCACTACAGCTATTGACAAGAGTCCTAGACATGCTTCTGCTACAAGAGCTGAGAAGATTAGAAACCACATTTATAATAGAAAACTTGCTGCAACAAGACAAGACATACATATTGATGAATTGGCAAATGAAAGCTCTGCCTTCTACTTGGCCATATTATTAAAAATGTAAGAACGTACTCTCTACAGAATAGCGCAAGACACAGTAAATAAAATTTAGCAATTAACACATCCATTGCTTTGTTGCCTTTGGCATCCCCTCTTCTACAGTGCTCTTCTGGAGGATCTCAGCTTTCTCTGGCTCAGAAGGCTACCTTGCCATATGCCTATGTTTGGCTGGGACCGATGCCAGGCCCCTTACAGCACTAAGCCGACCAACGTTTGGAGCAGGATTCTAGTAGCAGCCTGCAGAGTCCTTTGGCAGCCCCTTTTCCATGCGCTTTCCAGGTCTGCTCTTCCCCTTCTCTTCTTCCAAATCTTAATTTTAACCTCCACCCTAACCCCAGGCTGAGAGTCCAACAGAGGACCCCTCCAAATTTCCAAGTAAATTAATGCATGGCATTTCCTTTTGACAGTCCCCTCTCAACACTGCATTACTCTCCCTCCCAGTTCATTCCTTCTATGAAACTTGAACCCTAACCTCTCCGCTTGTCTGGGCTATGTACACCCACGAAGGAAATTCTCACTGCAGTTCCCTGTTGACTTTGGCATTTCCTCTTCAATCTTCTGCTACTGTCTCTCCTCAGTCTCTTCCTCACCTGAACTCTAACCTGAAGCAAAAATTTAGACTGTCCACATGAAGAGCTATAGCAACATCCTCCGGTAAAGGATAGTAATGCAGCACGTGTTTATCAGGTACTTTTCAGAGGACTAAAATCTCCCAGAAGACGAGGGAAAAAGCTCAACAATCAAAGAATCCTATTGCAGAGGGACATGACTTATAAGCCAGATTCTTTCAAGACTCTGAGAAATAATATTCACTTAAATTAGCCATTATGAACAGTACTAATTCAGTACAAATTACACACACACGGCATTGCAAGAGACTCTCAGGATAGAATCATATCCTTAACGCTTCTTCCAAAGCTTCTATATTGCCAATCCAGGATTGATTTTTGAATAAAATTTATGAATGCTCCAGAGTATTTTTGATTTACTCTAAATAGAAATTTTTTTCAGAACTCTCATCTTGTGTAAAGGAAAACACAAGAATACACAGTTTTGCCAGGATTCCAGTTATGCTGCATGTTCTATAAAGAGCATTTAAAAAGACAGAGTAAGTCCCTTGAAGAACACCTAGAATGTATTCTTCACAATACTGCCCAATATGCTCAGACTTCTGCGAATTAATAGATGCGTTATTGAAGTATAATATTTTGGACGATAAATGAAATAACAGTAGTTTTAGTAAGACTATTGCTGTAAATATAAACCTACACCTGTCATTTTAATGATCTTTTCAGATGGGTCCTTCTGGGTTCCCAAAAATATATAAGCAAGAAACAGGGATTATTTTAATGTTAACAAAGACAAGATAATAGGTAGTCAGTGTGTAACTGAAAAGAGGCCTCAATATCAAAATACAATATACCTCCAAAACACAATGCCCACAGAATCACCAAAGCATGTGGAACATAGTCTGACATACATAGTTAGCTTTTCTGCAACAGAAGATAGGCACAAGCGTTATTTGACTACAAAGGACCGGAAATGCTGTAGCAATGCTGGTTACACACCCAATAAAATATTTAGAGGGTAAGAACTGGTACCATACCTTAACATATTCCAACGTAGGATCCAGGATACCCTGAGCTCTGTAAGAGAATGGGGCAAAAGAGGGAAGGAGGACACAAAAACAAAATCAAACAGTGAGTCCAATTATTTCTTATATTGAAGAGATACATTTATATGAGCATTAGGCTACTAGTTCAAGTTAAATCCAAGTTAAAAATCGTTCATGTGTTATAGCTACATGGCCTATGTTATCTAACTTTTGACGAATATATAAATCACTGATTCCCTCTGGAAGGTTAGTAGTGGAATCGCTAGTAACTCATTTGGGAAATAAAATTCACTATAGAGTTTTAAGCAAAGTGAAAACAATCTTATGGAAAATGACATTTACAACAGTTACATACCACCTAAGATATCTCACATAAATTAAAAGGAGTGCTCTCCCAAGAACTTCTAAATTTGTTTCTTTGCTTGAATGACTTCCTATTAAAGCTACTTCTAAGGATAGCATTAAGATGGCACTGGTAATGCAAGAAAATGGAAAGAAAGTAAAACATTAACTTTTCTTATAAATAAAGCAAAATTTTCATGGACTTGCAATAGGGTAATGTGTTTTTTTATCTTTTGAAAAATAAATATGGTTCTTGCACTCTTTTACAAACTTCTCAAAACTAGAATTTCAAAACCATGATTATTTGAAAACCAGATAATCAAGTCATTGTCCCATTTTAAAAATAACTGATCTCTTTGCAAGTTTTTTATACATACAGATGTTAAGTATTCCCAAAGGCACAGAAGCCTAAGAGAAGAGCCATGTGATCAACTACAACTGCTTCCATGAAAAAAAGAATAAAAACAAACACATATATGTGAAGGGTTTTGTACATTTGTTTTTGTACGTTTGTTTTTATTTGAAAACTGGCAGGTTAACAGAATTTGCAGTACAGGCTTGAATGTTTGCTATAGAATCTAAGACAACATACATGGTACTGCCTTAAATGCAAGCACATAACTAACCGGCACGTTGAAAACCTTGCAAACTTTTAAAGGGATCGTGGGTTTGATATGGCAATCAAGTTTGCCACGTGGCCCACATACATTCCGTAAATCTAGAAACTGCATCCTGCTCAATGGAGGTTGTTATGATGACATAACATAGGAAACTTAATAGTAGCTTCAAACATGTAGAAGTCTGGTTACACTGGAATGCACTAACCCAGAATACAGTCTCGAGTTCACTGTTGTTGTTTGAATGTAATTGTATATAAGCTGGAACCAAATTACTGTTTTGTACCAGGTTTTAGTCCTGCCCCCTAACATCTTTTAACCTGGAACAATGTAAGGTGGCAAAGCAGAGCCTTTCCGCTTCTAAGCCCTGTCTCTAAAGATTCTCCGAATGCGATGGTGCTCAGCTGCCCAGGCTGTGTCAGGAGTTGCTGTTTCACACTATCAGAACATTTATCATGGGTCAAATTCCATTTCCAGTTAAACTAAAAGGAAAAATGCTGCCAAATCCAGTGGGATTGGAATTTAGTTCATCTGAAACTTTCTCCTAGCCAATATACAAAAAGGGGGAAAGCTAGTAACCATACGTACATAAAATATGCACAAACATAACAGAGAAAACAGAGGTGAAATTATAGAGGGAAAAGGAAAAGGAAGTTGCTAAAAATAAAAATGTTTTCTTTCCCAACACCATGCAATTTGACTGGAAAAAATCCTATTCTTAACCAGTTCAGCAAATACAGAAAGCATGGCCAAACTCTGCTCACATTCAAACCAACTCAGGAAAGTCATGCCAATGCTGAACACTTCCAAAAATTTGCAGTTAGTTTTTCACTTGTCTCTGGAATCTTCCAGGACAAAGGGTCCAACAGCACTGCAATGCAACCTACTCAAAAAAAAAAAAAACAAAAACAAAAACCTGAGCAATAAGCCTAACAATTAGTTTACTTGCTCACTTTGCCAGTCAGTACGCTTCAGCATAGTCTGTGTTTACAAAGGATGCTTCTGCAGACAAGCCTCACTACAGACTCCACTGTTCCCGTTGTCAGAAATAAGGCAACGGATCTTTTGGCTAGAGCAAACCAAAATAAAACCAAAGCAACAGAAAAGCTTTAAAACAAACCAGTTTATTTACTACTATATAAAGCAGGGAAATGAGCAGAGTGGGGGGAAAAAAAAGTCCCCTACATTTCCTTCCTTGTATGTACCATCCACATGACAAAAGTCCTTTGAAAAATTCAGCTTTAGGAAATGAATGGCGTAACAAATCTCTTCATAAGTACTATCACATTTTCATATATTTTGTCTGATAAGCTGTTATACACCACCACATCAGAAATCCTTCAATTCCCCACTAGCATAGGTTATACAAGAGGAAGTTCACGCCGTAGCCCTCTTGCCCTTAGATACCTTCTTCCTAGCAGGGCTTCCCCTCCCACTCCCCACCTTCCCTTCCTGTCCAAGACTTCATCTTTGCGCAAATTTTTGAGGTTATTTTCAAGATATGATTACTTTTAATGGTGGGCAGTATTAAATAGTAAAGATTAATTATTGCATTTTCCTATCATTCAATTCTACTACAGGCTGCCATATTATATGCAGAGAAACTGGAGATTAAGCAACTGGCCCAAATAATTAGGAACTGATGGCAAAGCTAATTCCTGAATCTCAGCTTTCTGTTAGTAATCATGATTTGCTTCTTTATGCCATATGCTCCCAGCAAAGGAAATCTATAATGTCAAGATCCTAAAGACCTACATATGGAAAAAAATTCTTTTCATTTTTCCTTCCAAGGCATCTTAATAAACAAGGTGAACCCCAAAACTCATTTCTTATATTAGACCATCTGCAGAAAAGCTTTAATGTATTCAGGGAAGTACCAGACCAGGGGAAAAGTGCTGCCGGCTCTGCAGTGCTCCCAAACCAATTCATTTGAAGGTTTGTTTCAATAATAAGTTCTTCATCTTTCATCAGATATTATTACATTTCAAGTAATGTTAATGTTCATCCTCGTAATGAGCTTGATTTTACAGCTTTCTTCAGTTGCATCTCTTTACCTACAATATATATGAACTAAAGTCTGTAAATTGTGGGTTCACAGATTAGGTTATATTATATATTTTGGCTTCCTAATGATCAGATAAGCCCTACTTTCATTCAGATAAAATGTATGTTTAATGAGAGGCAGTTCCTTATTTGGTAGGATGTCATCTGGAATAGAGTTTTCGGAACAACTCAAGGTAAGGTGTTGGTTAAGGGCTACAGTAGGACACACGGTATTGACTTCATGCTCTTTTCATACTCGTTCTGCCACAGAAAAGAACTCAAGGAAGGGATGCAAATGATCTGGTATTCATGTCAGTGCCAGTCTCTATCACCTCATCTCAAGAGGCAAGGACGAAAAAAAAACCCAACCCAACCCAAACCAAAACAAAGAACAAAATACCGAAAACCTCCTTCCAGTATTTTTTGCAATGAGTCACGCAGACAAAAAACACTCAGATCTGATAACATGTTATTACATCATTCTTCTGAACAGTCAAATTCCTCTGTTGACCCTCCTCCATATGCACATCTGTGTGGAAACTGCAGCAGGATAAACACTCCTCCAGGAAGAGTACATCACTAAAGAAAAGCAATCAGTTGTCACAATCTTGACCTCCACCACTCTGAGACTGTTCTGACCAGAAACATATTCTTTCTTCAGCATCCCTAGTGGCATCTGGAAATGCCTTTCTCTCTACTGGCCAGTCTTGCAGATCTATAACCCTTTAATCTCTCCCTACTAGTCCTTGGAAATTAACTCAATTTCTTCAGCCCAGCTACAAGACTGTTAGTAGCATTATGTCTTTTTTTGCACACGTAGGTTTCTTACTGATATTGCCAAGAAAATACACAGAGCTTGAAAAACAGGGCATGGAGCTCCAGCAGTCCTACAAAAAGACGAAAGAAGGAGAACAGAAAATATGGAGCTGCTCCTCTCCTCTCCCACCGAAGTGAAACCTGCTGCAACTGTGAAGAGTCTGGTGTCATACTGGTTGTGAATGATTGTCCATGAGCATTCAACTAACATCGCTGAATACCACGAGAACCAATATACAACTTCACAGAAAATAGGGATTGCCATTGTATGTAGACTCCTCTGAGATACAGCTAAAGCTGACTCAGATGATAAAAGGGAATAGGTTTCAGATGTTATTGCAGGATGCTCTTCCACTTCCCAGTACCCACCCCTAAATGGCAGCCACAGGTGTGGGAAGAATTTAAAAACTGCCTTCTGAAATTGTCAACAACAGTAGTTAGAGGTAAAAAGAAAAAACCCTACAAGCAATCAAAATCATACTTTGGGTAATGACAGATTAAATGCATTTCTAAAAATTTCAAATCATGCATTGATCTGAAGACAACAAGCAACCAAACATGAAACTCCAACAAAGAAAACATTGAGGTCTGAGTAACTAGACACTCTTTTTAAATTCTTGATAAAGTTATGATGTACTTACAATCAATATCACAACTGAAAAGCAGAATACTAGCATTCAGCCCCCCTGCAAAGTTATTCAATTCAGTGGATGCAGAAGAACAGCCAGAGCTTCAGTAACTCAGAAATTCTCCGCCTTTCTTCTTCTGCAGGCTCCAAGGTTGTTCCCATCATTCTCTAGCACTATTTCAATAAAGAAGCGTTAAGCAGATATCCTTTAATCTTTAGGTGATAATTTTAATAAAGGCTCCCTCTTTCTTCCAATAACTGTAAGTTATCTAGTCTCATCATTGCTGCCATGAAGAATTCCACAACATGCCGATCTTAATGAACTAAGCCATATGAAGCATCTGCTTTCCCTCTGCCTTTGGCATCCTCATGGATGTTATCAGTCGTTCTTACAAATTAATTGTAATAACTTAAACAATATTTAAGTATAGACACAACATTACTACCAGAGATGCGCAGATCCTCAACTATCATTCAGCTCCCATATACATGCTCTTACCCTGATAGAAACTACTGAATGACCTGAAGTAGCTCTGAGCACTATTCCACGTTTTCAGAAATACACATATAGGAGAAACATTAAGA